TAAGTATTCTACTATTCTTCCGTACTCGCTACTTTTTTATTTCTTCCTCTTTTCCCTAAACATATTCATTACTTTTGAAAACTTCTTAGTTGTTTCACTATTTTCAAATCCTTCACAGATCTTCCCATCTCTCATTACATTTTTGATAAAACCATCCACATCTTCTCTTTTGTTTTGCCCTTCATTCTTACACTCTACCACCAATTTTCAAACCTAATTATTCTTCTCCAAAACTTTTCCTTTTTCTTCCCATATTCTTTTCACTTCTGTTCGATAAACTTACTTTATACTCTCTCCATTTCCAAGCTAACTTCTAATTTCTAACTTTTCCATTGTACAATCCTGCCCTTTTATTCCCATTATAAGTGGCATAATGATCTGACTCTGTCTTTTTTTTTTAAATCCACTTAATTATTAATACTGTCTCTTCTTTTTCAATTATATATATATTTTTCATTACCAAATCTGTTTTTGCTCCAATATACTTCCATCTTCCTTCCCTATTCCAAGCCATTCATTCATACAATGCCATCAATTCACAAAAGTTAATATTTTCTAACACTGAAAATGTATTTTCAATAGGTACTTACCTCTTGTCATCCAAAGCTATCTTGACCTTGATTTGCACTCTAAGCATTCCTAAGATTTCCAACAGTGCATCAGTCTTTTATACTCCTTAATTTTTGTGTCATTGCAGCAACATGTGCTGATCATGTGACAACCCTCCACCATTCATACTACACCACCTATACTAGCACGGGTAGCTTCTTCTACCATTCCAACACAATTTTTCACTTGTGAGAATTGGCACATACAAACTAGAAACACCAGCATATCAGTGGGGAGGAAGTGGATGTTAGAAAATGTTAACTTCTGAAATGGTACTACCTCTTCTCATCCAAAGCTAGAATTCCACACTGTAAAAGTGGAGGGGCTGGTGAAGGCTCAACAGTAGTCAAACAAGTGAAGAACAACCACTGTGAAAGAACAGGTGTGCCAGAATAATTAAAAGGAGGCACATCTGAGGAGTATAGCACTACTTCTGGAACAGATATGTTCTTCACCCAGTAATGAGCACATTAAGACATATAGGGATAAATGGAATAATCAGGCACCATGTCATGTGATACAGATTCCACCCATGGACAACAGATAGTACCTAAGTAGTCCACATATGTAACAAGCATGAACACATGACACAATGATAGTTAGAAATGAGGAAGGTACCTGATAATCAGACATAAGTATATGTGGCTAAAGCTAAAGGACTGTAAAATGTATATGAATAGACCAAGTGCAGTCCACCCTGGCAAAAAGATCCAGGGGAAGAGTCTTGGGATAGGACAGATTATGCCAAGTGTGGTCCATCTGGTCAAAAACAACAGTAAAATTGTCTTGCATAAGATTGTCCTTTTCATATTTTGTTTGTAACTGATTTTGTGATCAACAACTGTGGTCAGCCCAGGCAAAAACACCTGGAGGAAGTGTCTTGTGATATTATGGAGTATGTCAAGTGCAGTCCATCCAGACAGAAAACTTCCAGTAGAAGCACTTTGCATAAGATAATTCCTTTTATATCTTGTTTGTAAGTTATTTAGAGATCAACAAGAGTGGTCCACACAGGCAAAAATATCCGGGTAAAGAGTCTTGTGATATTGTTGAATATGTCAAGTGCAGTCCATCCGGGCAGAAAACATCCAGTGGAAACGTCTTGCGTGAAAAATTTTTTTATGTTCAAGAAGTGCAGTCATCCTGGGCACAATCATCCGTGAGAAGCACTTCATATTGAGAATAGTATGGTATTGCATAATATTAAGTAGAATGACGACAGCCCTCTTCTCACTGAGTGGGTACACATGAGAAATGAATTTTGAGTTGGTTTATCATACAAATCCCACTCCTGAGGAAACCTCCATGGTCCACCACCAAGCGACTGGGAACTGGAAGGTAGTACCATTTCAGAATTCTATGAACTTTCTCATTTCCTATTCAGTTCTTTATCTTGTGATTTGCAACCTTTTTTTTTCAACATTCCATACTTTCATCCTCTTCCACATCACTTTCTTTTACAATCCTTGTATTCCTCTAATTTTACTTCCACCTACTCAATCATTTGTTCTAACTCCTGGTTATTATACACCACAAAAATTATTCCATTTTTAACTTCACAAAATTCTCATAACTTCGTCCTCCATCTTCACTTTCCATTTCAAACTTGCTCCTCATTTTTTCCCTCTTTCTGCTTATTACTAACTTTCTCCTCATGCTTGACATTAACTTTCTTCTCTATACTACCTTCTTCTCATCTGTGTCATCAATTCATGCTTTCCAAAACCCTATTGTTATTAAGCATTACATTACATTCAGTATTAACATTATTTTTCTGTATTACTTATATTTTCTTACTCTTTTTTTTGTCCCACAATACTTCTTTATTTCTTATTCTTTGCTCATCCACCTTACATTCTTTTTGATATATTTTGAATTACCAATTCTGATTTTTTTTCATCAAATAAAAACCTTGGTTCAGCAATGAAACCACATGAAGAAGTCACAGATCACAACACATAAATTAAAAACTTCACAATGGATCCACAAACACTGAAATTTTCGAAAATAGCAATAGCAAAAACTTATAATTGCAAGAGGTCATCTGCAGATATCCTTCCGAAGAAACTGACAAATGACCAACAGTCAGGATTTCATATATCCTAAATTGCAAGAGGTCATCTACAGATATCCTTCCAAAGAAAACTGACAAATGACCAACAGTCAGGATTTCATATATCCTAAATTGTAACTGCTATATATATTCATGCATTATATTTCCTGTTTGTAATATTAGTATGAATATGTCTGTCTTATTGTTCATTTCACGATAAAATTAATGCTTTCATTGTATACTCTATTTTACTTTAAGGTTTATAAGGGCATATTCTAGCATTATTTTTTTCCGATTGTTTACAAAGCTTTTGTTCTCAAAGTGTCATTTAATTGCTCACTTACTTACCTGTTGAGTTGTGTATATTAAGTCAGACAGTTAATACCTTAAAAGTTATCCCTTATTTACTTGTTTAGTTATATTTAAAACTAGACACTAAATAAATCAGAATGTTCTTTTACTTCTCTAGTAAGTTTTGTATATGATGTCATACAGTGAATACATTAACCCCCCCTCTCTCTCTACGAGTAAGTCAAAGTGCACATGTCACAACATTTTATAGTTACATTTAAAATTTAATTAACTTTCTTGCTGCAGACTTGGTTGAATAGGCCAAGTTTCTGGCCCCAAATTGACCTTTATAGATTCCATACTATAACTTTCAACATGTTTTGGACATCTTCACTACATTACACAAGCATTAAGTAATAATTAAGTCATCTGTAGAAAAAAAATTTATAATGCACTATTTTCCCTAAAAATTTCTCCATGAATATATGTAGTCAAAGTGTTGACTGCTTCAAATGCAAAACGATTTTCATGTTAAGATTAAAAATAATTTTCTTCATCTGAAAAATCTCAAATTTCACTTATATAATCTCTAAAACCTCCTAAGTACATTGTTTAAGTAACACTTTATATTTTTCTGATATTGTCTCTAACTTAACTCTATACAAGGTTTGTCAATTTGACCAACCTCGTAACCACCAAAAACAAATTTTGAAATAAATCTAAGTTACCCTTTTCAATCTTTCTAGAATGATTCAAATTGTAGCATGAAATTACATTTGTATATCCAAATTACTTTTAAACTCATATCAGTATACATCTCTTTGTACTTAAATTTTATTGTTTTATTGCCCTTTGAACCATGTATTACTAATATTCTTGCCAAAAATCTTGAAAATCACTTGGTAAACATGTAGCCAACACTAGCCTATCAAATTACATAAAACATAGGCTACTCAAGAAATTTTTTTATTAATATTTTTCTTTATTTTACCTAATCTAACCTAATAAATTTCTAACATTCACATTTTAGTTATTTTTATAATAATAAATTAAGAATACACAAGAAAAACAAGAAATATATATTGCTTGCTTGTAACCTCTTGTTTTTTACCATCGATTGCTAATGAAATTTAAGCCTACTTTTTTATACTAATGGTACTAGTACATTAAATAATTTTTATTAACTTAACTAATTCACCTAAGAACACAGTGGCTTTCTCAGCAATTTTAACAGACTTGACCCCATTTCTTTTTTTTTGACCCAATATTTCAAGGTGATAGGGTGTGTCTTTACTCTGCTCAAAATTTCATATTTTTTTTAGACTAAAATACATCTTAGTTACTAAGCTTTATATATTATAGTGGAATTCTATGGTATTAATGTAGTAATTTATGATTTTCTTA